CGGGAAGAGAGCTGGTACAAGGACAAGGGGGACTAATCTGAAGCCACCTTACTCTTTAAATAGAAAAATAAGCATTTACTAATACTGATTATTAGCTGAAAACAGTGAGCATTTCATCACCAACTTGTCAGCATGCACAAACACAAGGACTGTGAGGACAACACTTTTTTGTAACAACATTTCAACCTAAAAGTGAAAATTCTGTCTTTATTTTCTCGCCCTCGTGTCCTTAATATTGTTATTTTGTCTGTGGAGTGCAAAATGAGAATTTAAGAATCTTTACGACAGCTCTTTTTCATACAATGGGAGTTCATATTACGGCAGTTAAGCTCATGACAAAGAAATCACAGAAATGCACCACGTATGAAATGCACGACTCGTTCATTATATTTCGACTTTTCTGAAGTCAGATGATAGGTTTGTGTGAGGGAAAAATATCAATTAAGTTATGATGTACTGATAATGTTCCCTTACGATGCATTTATAGTCATATATAATGAAATAAATGACAGAGCCTTTTCATTCATATTGTGACGTACAAAAAGAAAGAAATGTGGGGTGGGACTTGCTTTTATCCATCGGTTGTTGATTGGGTGGAGGCAGATCTGAATGTGAGCTTGAGGCTAATTGTAAGAAAGTGGCAGAATTTTATTGGGCAAAATTATTGAAATGAGAGAAGTCTTTCGTTTGGCTGGAAGATTGAGTTAAGATATATTATCTAAAGGGTTAGTTCACCCAAAAATGAAAATTCTGTCATTAATTACCCTCGTGTTGTTCGAAAACCCGTAAGACGTTTGTTCATCTTCGGAACACAATTTAAGATATTTTTGATGAAATCTGAGGGCTCTCTAACCCTCCCATAGGCAGCAAGGTAACTACCACGTTCAAGGTCCAGAAAAGTACCAAGATGATCGACAAAGTAGTCCGTGTGACATCAGTGGTTCAACTGTAAAGTTACGAAGCTACGAGAATACTTTTTTGCGCAAAGAAAACAAAAATAACGACTTTATTCCACATTTTCGTCTCTACTGCGTCACTTGTGGACGCACGTTCACGACAGTACCATGACGCGAGCGTGTGGTGGCGCTGACCCAGATCCGGCATGACCCAGATGACATCATTACACCGGATCTGGGTCACCGCCGCCACACGCTCGCATCATGATACTGTCGTGCCAATATCTTAAACTGTGTTCCAAAGATGAACGAAGGTCTTATGGGGTTGGAACAACACGAGGGTGAGTAATTAATGACAGAATTTTCATTTTTGGGTGAACTAACCCTTTAAAAATTATGAGGTCAAACATATTTGACAAAACATTGTTTTTATGTGCTGGTTGTTTTCAATGAACTTGTTATCCAGTTCACAAATTGGACTGATTGATTAATTCACAAACAAGAGTGATTCTTTAAAAAAAAAAATCAATGTTCTTTCAATGTTTTTTTTTTTTTGGATGAATTAACATGGACAAACTTTTCAAATCCTTTTCTGTCCTCTGTCACACAGGATACAGTGGTGAATAGTTGGCCACTTTGGTACATGGTGCAAACTAGGGCTGCACGATAAATAGCATGCGATATTTAACGCGCATCTTGTCAGTAAAGCCATTCTGCAACCAGCAGTAAATCTCAATCACGTGCGCGCTTTCACATGGAGCAGCATTAACTACACAGAGCCTTTGTTCACCGACAAGCTGCGCAAAACTTGCGCAAAATATGATCGTGGTTTTGCGCAGCTTGTCAGTGAACAACGGCTCTCTGTAGTTAATGCTGCTCCATGTGAAAGCCCGCAGGTGATGGAGATTTACCGCTGATTAAAAACCGACTTTACTGACAAGATGCGCGTTAAATATCGCATGCGATTTATCGTGCAGCCCTAGTGCAAATTGATATTTCGGAGCAGTTTCCAGGGCAGGGAGTCAAATCTAGTTGCATGGACTTGTAGCACTATAATGGACTTTCTGGCTCTGAGTGATGACTAGCTCAGACAGATATATCTACTCTTCAAAGGCAGTGCCAGTTTAAGGCTATCACTACGCTTGGCGACCATCTTGGTAACACCACTGAGTATCTATTTTCTATATATGCCACCACTCAAATGTTTGGAATCAGTAAGGTGTAGGTAAGTACAGTAAGGTCAGTGTAGGTGGCTGCAGGTGGCTGTTTTCATTGTTGATGCATGTGGTTTCACACATTAAGGCAATAATCCCTATGCTTGCAATGAAAAGCTGCAAATATATGGTTGGCTGTTATGTCACCTTTAGTTAGGAAATTACATCATGCATACATAACCCCATACATGTAATCAGTAAGCAAGCTGTATTAGTCTAATTATTAACAATTAACAATAAATAGTAACAACTAAGATTTTGATTAATCATGTAAGGGTGTGTATGAAGGTACGTCGGTTTAAATCTAAATAAGTATCGAGTTTCTCATTACAGAATTACTATGAACACATAATGAGGTCCATCTGTTATGCAAATTATGATTACATAATGCAGGAGTATTATTGCTGTCTCTTTCCCACACAAATCACATCCATAAGAGCTTGCAGAAGCCAAAGTGGTGGAAACCACTGCAGTATGTAAGCACCTTATCCTTTCTTTCCACATTTTATCTCTCCCTAATGTCTTAAGAGGCAACCCTTCACACATACACACACTATGACAGTCTCCCATCTGAAACAATTAGTCTGTCCCAAAAGAACCCACTTTGTGTCATTTATGTCAATAACATTGGTTCCTGAATTTCCCTTATACTACATTCGATGTTGGCATCCACCCAACAGCTGTACATGCACACTGTAAATGTATGAGTAATATGCTATAGATTTTATATTTACATTTAGGTGCAAGGTTCACACATGATGGGCTGCCAAAAACATCTCCAGATTCTCTCAGACAAACATCCACAGCTCAGTGCCACTTTATAGATAATTTCCACCATAACTTCATAAAAACATAAACTCCACCAAATCTGCACAAGCTGTATTATTTATACACTATTATAGTATATAGTACACTCATAGTATTTATTAATATTATTCATATTTTGATTGAGCATTTTTTTGTATTTTGAGTTTTCATAAAAAATTTTGTTTTAGTCATTTCTTAGTCATGTGCTCCAGTCAAGTTTTTTTTCTTTTTTTGTTTGTTCGTTTATTTTTTTTTAAGTTTTAGTAAAACTTAATGTTTTACTTAAAAACTTCGACTTAATGTATTATTTTTGCCCAGGCAACGATTTTAATTATTTTAGATATTTTAAAGTTTCTAATTTTTACATTTATTTTACATCATCTAATATTTATATACAGTTTTATTTCAATTTCAAATATCAAAAATTATTTTTAATAGTTTATTTTTAGTTAAAAATAACAACACTGTTCTGCAGGATACAGGATATCAATAAGAGTCTAGTACTTTTCCATCCATGTAACACATCTTACCATGTTTGCATTCCAATAATTCCATAGATTTCCCTTAAAATCTCTTCCGAAAGATTCCATCTGGCCCTAAATATCATCAACAGCTGTAGGAGCTAGTTGAAACTTGATGTTCGAATAATACAATTTTCACATAGCTAACAAGCGATTAATCTGATTTAATCCCTTGGCTAAATAAAATAGTTCCCTTTTTGAGTCTTTAAAAACTCAGAACAATGGTGCTCAGTTCCTTTCACAGTGGATTAGAAAGAAACAAACAGAACAATGAAATAAAGAAAGAACAATTTGACAACGAGAAAAACATTCCTAATAGCATTAGCGAAACATTTCCTCAGTGCTGCGGTTCAGATTTAATAAAACTCATTTAGTGTGACAAGGCATTAAGAGTGATGAAGAAACAGGAAGAGAGAGCGAGAGGGTTGTGAAGTTGACAGAAAGAGAATATAGACAAGAAAGGACATCAAGAAAGCGTCAAAGAGGGAGAGGGAGAGGGAGAGAGAGATGAGGGTGTGGGCTCATCACTCCTCCGCACCGCTATCAGACTCTGCACCTCGGGGCTGGCGCAATGCCACTACACTCATGAAACAGAGATGGGCCCCGACTGGCACCATCTAACGTTAACGCCCACCCATCATAACATCTCATCACAGCCCATAACGGTCCTCATCCTTGTGCATAACATTACACTGCTGGAATGACTTTTTATTCCCTCTGGAGTCAAATATGGATAACGACATATGACAGCAAAAGATGATGCATCATTTTAATGCCTAACTCTCACACATGTATCAGCTATGCTATATCCCCTTTCCATGTGCGCAAAAAATGAATTTTTAACAATTTAGCAATATCAAAATACATACATATATTTCATCCAAAATATTCTCCCAGATCCTGGTTTGATTTTGTGTGGTTTCTGCACTGCTAGAGCTCCAAATTGCAAAAATAATGTTTCAAACACTTAAACTCCTATGAATGCACCAGCAAAGATTCATTAAATTAATCAAAAGTGACTGTAAAAACATTTATAATGTCAAAAATTAAATGTTGTTCGGTTTGTTCTGTTGAACTTTCTAATCATCAAAGAACCTTGAAAAAAATGTGTAACATTTTCAATGTATTAGGCAGCACAATATTGGCAATCAATATTGACAATAATAGTAAATGTTTCTTGAGTACCAAATCAGCATATTAGAATGATTTCTGAAGGATCATGTGACAACAGCTTTGCCATCACAGTAATAAATTACTATTTTTACTGTATTTTTGATCAAATAAATGCAACTTTGGTGACCATAAGAGACTTGCTTGACTTAAAAAAATGTTTTTTTAAACTTACTGACTCAAACCCATTCACATTCAGGTGTTCATTGGTTGGACAAACAGGAAGCCCCTTCTCAAACTCAAACTATACTGTAGGTTCTTGTCATGATCGCCCAAACAAACCAATTTCAATTCTGTTTGATAGTGCAGAATTTACACACTTTGCCTTTAAGCTTCAAAGCTATATCAACCATTTGACCTTGTTGTGATATACATGCAGTGTAGTGAGTTACCTCTCCTTTGAATGATAATCCGAAGCAGTGGATTGGCCGAGGACAGTGCTTTGTGGAAGTTGTCATCATTGTTGATTGGAAGTAGATCTCCATGGATGTCGGCATATCCCAGCAGCACGTCCACTCCGGGGATCCGGTGAATGGTCTGCAGCAGTTGGTAGAATTCCTGGAAGCCACCGGCTCCTTTCCTCTTCAGGGCAAACCTGCGGTACTCCGCCTCAAACTGCAGGACAACCACAATCATGTTAAATTATATCAATAAACACTACAGGCTCTTAATGCACAGCACTTAGCTTTGTAGATCAATTATGACATCGACTGATTATGACCCTGTAAATTATGCAAATGTAATCCATGTTTTTTTTTTCCAACTGAAACTTGGACAGTGACTTTACACACAGATGCGTCTTTGGGTGAAGAGTCTGTAGACACATTCAGTGCCAGTTCCTCGTACCAATTTCACTTGCTCCTGCAGCTGCAGAGCTGTTTGATGTGCACTTGCAGCTCGGAGGAAGCCATTAAGGTAAAAAAAAAAGAGCAGTGAGGAACAAAGGGAGGGTCAAGCTAATCAAGTGCTACAGATAAAGGGAAAGATGAGAACAGTGGCATTAAAAAGCTGAGCTTCTCCAGACCACACACACACACACACACTGAGCGGATGGGGAATTCATCTCAAGAGCTCAGCTGAACATATTGGACAAAATCTGTCAGATCGCTCAGTTTATGAGGAGGAATTGCATCCGAGCCAAAGATTTTCTCCAGTATCCATGGAGCATACCTTACATATGGAAATGGAGAATACTAGTGAAAATATACAAGGCCATATTGTAAATCATTTGAATATGGAGTCATTCAGCAGGCCACAGCCAGTGTTTTTATTAGAGCCCATTCACAAAAATAATATCAAAGGCTTTTTCCTGTGGTAGATATAACAAGAATTAATTTTCCTAATTAATGCTGTACAGTTGCTTTGACACAATCTGTATTGTTAAAAAAGTGCTATATAAATAAAGGTGACTTTACTTGACTTGATGCGTTTTCATTCTATAATCCTGTTTGTTTCTCTCCTATACTTTCATCTTGTTAAAATTAAGAAAGGAAAAGTCCTACATGTCCTACAAAGACTACATGTCCTCTCCTAGTATACATCCTTGGTCTTACTGTGAACAATTAATCGTGCAAGTTATTCTTATAAATAGTTAATAAGTTCGTCTTTTATCTCTTATTAAAATAACAACTTGCTTCACCTCTAAAACATCTTTCCTTTTCAGCTGTCATGTGACCGCTTTCACAGTCCAATTAATTCTTGATGGATAAAATCAGGTCTTCTTACATTTCCCCCCCCCCCTCTTGTTGAATATCCTGTTTCACTCATGAATGTGTCACATTACAGAAGTAAAATGTTAATCTGTCAATAAAAGGACTGTCATTTTAGAGATGAAAATACAATTTTTAATCAATAAATTTTTTTTCACACACATTGCACAACATATTTGAATATATGCATTATCATCCCGCTTGAAAATATTTACATCACCTCCCCCTTCAAAACAAGCATCAACAACTTTGAACTTATTAGTCTTATTTTGTGCAAAAAAAGTGCTGTTATGTGGGACCACCACAGTAACCATAGCAATACAGATAAAAAGGCCATACCTGTCATACCAATGAAAACATGGCCTGTCAGAGAAAAGACATCAGTATGAATTGTTCAACACAGACCTCAAACTACATGCTCACTGAAAACACCATTCATTTGCAACAGGATCCCATCAAGAGCTAGAAATGTAGAAAAGAAAACATTTCCTTCCAATTTCCTCTCAGGAAGAAAAGAGTGTCACCAAACACATTGCACTGCCTGTTATGAAAACCAAAACCTCAAGCAGGAGGATTCAGGTGATTGAATTAGCCAGTTCAGGCAAAAATAATAATATATGACACTATATTACATCCAGGCCTGCATGGAACTTCACTTGAATCTTTCTAAACAGCCCTCTTCTGTTTACTGTTCTCCTCTCACATATGCACTGCACACCCAACATTTCTCAAGAATGGAGGGATAATAAAACATATCCTGCTCTGTTTGGCAGATTGTGGTCGAGGTTTTCCAATAAGGATACTGGGCACATTGACAACAAACTACTCCAAAACATCAGAGACCAACAATCTGTGTATTTAGTAATAATAGAGGCCATGAGAAACGTAATAAAATATATGAACTATTTTAAACAGACATCAATAGTTATAGCTGTTTGCCTGTTAATATTAATTTATGCATCATCAGATGTAATATACTAAAGACTATATCCTCCCATAAATGAGGCCTTTTTTACACATCTGTATGGCCTGAGATGAACCGATTTATTACAATGACATTTTAATTTAGACAATTGTCGAGTACTATTATACAACAGTGGATCTAAGGAGGTCAGAGGCAACTAGTAGGCCTCAGCAAACCTGGAAAATAACGTAAATTAATATAATTATTTTATATATTCCATAAATAACGCCAAGCTTTGAACTATTTTATTGGGTAGAAGTTGTGAGTTAAAATATTTTACAAATCTTTTGATTATACTTGATCCAGTCCAGCTTTTAGTGTTGCGTTGCATAGTGACACTGAAAGCTGGATGCTTTGGCTTCTTTTGGAACTATTTTCACCCGCAGATATGAAATACACTAACTGGTCAATATTTGTCTGAAACATAAGATATTTAAATATCCATAGAGCAACATCACTGGCAATGCTTCTGTAGCACTGAATCATCAACAAGGTTATAATCACCTGTGGCCTCATGCCAGCTGTATTCCAAACAAATGCACTTTTGCTCGTGTTATTGCTTATTAATATACCTGCTTACTTGTTGTAATCGAAGAAAACAGTGGAATTTTTCTTGTGTATAGAAACTGCACTGAGTTGATGTAGTACACAGCTCTGCTAATATTATTATTAATGCCCCTCAGATGCATCATTATGATCGGATTCTTCCTAGACCGCGGGATTCGGTTTTTCGTTATTGGTATGTAACATGCATAATTGATCAACAGGGCCCAGTCGCCTCATTGCGCACGTCTGTTTATCGGTAGGATATGATCCTTCTTCACACTGCACCAGAACCACATTTCACATCACACGTGATCCCAGCCAAACGCGCTCGTCTCGCGCCTCGTAGTCTGACACATACAGCACCATCAGCGTTTCTCTCTATGGATGGATTAGTACACAAACCCCAACACTGATGCGCCGGATTGAAAGCCCTCCAAATACGGGCACGCTCCCGTGGAGGGCTGCGTAAACAGCAGTTTACATATGCACGCTGTCAAACGCAGCCTAATGCAATATTTATGGGATTCACTTACTTTGCTCTTCACCTCCACCACACTCTCCTCGTTTTTCAGCGGCGTCCTGTGATGCCGTGCCATGTTTGCGATATATATATATATATATATATATTCCCACGGGCAGTATCGCACGAGAGTGCCCCTAGATACAGGAGTCCGCAGCCAGAGATCGTGTACGCAGCATGAGTGAACTGACAGTCGAGACCCGCAATACTGTTTCACAAGCACGGACTGATTTGTCCAGGCGGTGGGCGGGGCCAGTGGCTTTCAATAACACTGACGTCAGGCGGAACGCCGCTAGAAGGCGTGGTCGTGCGTAGTATCACATGTAAGCCTAATGCTCCTCTGGCCTCTCAGGGTGGGATATAAGAATTCCTTATGACTCAATGACCTCATTGAGGTCAAAGATATTAATAACGATATAAAAAATGACATCATGACTATTAACAGAAATTTTTGCAAAATTTCCACTCAACAGAAAAGATCCACAGGAAATATCAGGATTGTTATGTGATGGTTGCTTTCCAAACTCATGATGTCTTTATCCCTGCATGGGGTTGCTGTGAAAACGTTATCTTTTAGGGGACAATCGGGCTAGTTGTCGCACTTTTTAGGTTTATACTTATACATTTACATATACATATATATTATAGTTGTCGCACAGGGTAGATTTTTGAAAGTCAATTTCTATAACAGTCTTGTTTAGGAATATAAATATTGAACACATGTTGACCTTTTGCAGCAACATGATTCAGTTTTGGGGAATGTTGTCCTACTATATGAGGTAAAGTTTTCACAGTGGAACCTGCCTTTTAACAGCATTTAGTATACTTTAAATATAGTCAAATAATTCAGAAATACAAAACAAACAGGAAAATGTCAAATGTTACCTTGTGACAGCATCTTTCTGTGACAACTAGCCCCGGTCTCCTCCGGAAGTGGGATGGGAAAATGGGACTAGCAACTGTTTGATTACCTGCATTCTTCAAACTATCTTTTGTGTTCGGCAGAAGAAAGAAATTCATACAGTTTTGGAACAGCTTGATGACAGAATTAAAGTCATCCTGTGGTCCCATTGGAAGTTTGCTGAGGCCCCCTAGTGGGTCCTGGCCTCGTGGTTGCTTTAAAGTTTCTGCCTTTTCTCTCAGTGAATGATTTAATACCAGAGCTGCTATAATTAGTACATGTCCTCATATGATTAGAAAATGTTTAGAAAATATTAGAAACAAGAAAACTTAAAATGCATAAGCATTTCAGTGTACTGCTAACAAGTTCTACATTAACATTAATAGAGAAACTGTTAACATATGCCCATCTGTGGACAAAACATTTGCTCACTAGATTTCCCCTTTCACCCCACCCACCCATCTTTTTCCTTTTAGTGTATTTGAGCCACTGGTCTTAATAAAGCTTCTCTTTCTAGTGTTTCCCTTGTTGTGTGTCCAGTCTCTGCTCTGCACACCCTCTCCGCGGGCCTCTCTCCAGCTCGGATGATGATGGAAAGCAGAAGAATGCAGGAATGTGGAGGGAGATGATCATCCTGGTTGCTCATTGCAACGGTCAGTACTTTGATCTACTCTGCATTTGGTCTAGACCCAACAATTTCCTGGAATATGGCGGCGAAATTGAGTTTACATGTGTCTCTCTTTCACATAGGTATCAGTGACTCAGCTGACCCATAAGGTATTTGGAAACGGTTGGTGTTTTGGACAGCCCTGTTTGGGTCCTACAACATATTTCAACTCTTCCACATTTGTTTTTCAAATGTCTGTCTGACACCTGACCATGTTCTCCCCTCTGGCTCATCCATGCGCTCATACCCAAAGAATTTAACCTGTCAAACCAGATGTTTGTTAGATAAGTACCTGCTGAGGCTCAAAAAGGTTTATTGAGTGACTTTTCACCTGAGAAGCAGAAACTCGAGAAGCAGTTTGGAAGGTTTTAAGTCATCCTTTCTAAAATGACTCACTGTAATTTTATATCGTCACAGGAAGACTCGTCTGATACATCGCAGAAGGACAGAGGTGGAGGAGATGGGAGCTTTTGCTCCTATTAACCTGGTGTTTACAGTTTAAACAGGTGAATGGGACTGTTATACTCACCCACAGAGTATTAGTTTTTAAAAGCAGGTCTATTTAAGTTTGTAGTTGCTTAGGTGATGAATGCTTGAGAATGTGAGTTATTCAAGAGAGGTCTGTTTAGTATAAGCTGATAAGATATGTAATACTCCCACCTCTGCTCTTCACTTGGCCTTGTATATTCAGGGGGAAAGGGGTGAAGCTCACTTGAATTATGAGAAATTGTCGTCATCATGACCTGATTTTTATTTTAATTTTTTGAGGAAGGGGGCATACCTTTCAGAAACAGAAATGATGTGAATGGACACATTTCACTGCAAGAATATGAAGATTTGCTGTACAAATTATGCCCTTTAGAGCCATTTTAAGACAGATATGACCATTTGGTAGAGATAAGTGAATTTGTGACTAAATGAAAAGGCAGCCCCTTAACAGAACAGATCTTAGATTGTGTTAAATTGAAAAGGTGCCTCATACCTCAGTCATGTCAGCAGAATGAGCAAACATTCCGATCTTACCTGTCTGGAATCTCAATTATTTTTTTGTTCTCTGACCACACACTAAATTGTTCATCTCCGTTGTTTACATCCCTATTGTGCCCTAAGGTCTACTTCAGAGTGTAATGAAACAAAATGATAATTCAAATCATAAAGCACGAGTGATGGTGATCTAAACATGTAAACCAAATTAAATTACTATTTTAAATTAAAGAGTCAATGTACAACTGTTTTCAAGATTGATGATAATAAATGTTTCTTGAGCTCTAAATGACCCTATTAGAATGATTTCTGAAGGATCATGTGAAACTGAAGACAGGAGTAACATGGGCTGAAATTTCAGGTTACCATCACAGGAATAAAATTAGATGTAAAAAGATAATAAAAAGATTCATCAAACATCCTCAAACTTAATTTAGTGGTTTGAATCATATATATATGTTATTCTAAAAACACATCAAATATTTTACAAGAGAGTATGTTTAATCATTGTTTTGCATAGTAGGGTCCAATTATAATGTTGAATCAATTGTCAGAGAAGCTTAAAGGAGTCATGTTTCTTGACGTTAATGTTGGTAAAGTTCTTTGCACAAAGAAAAAAAACAACTACTTTCTGATTCTCAATCTGAAATGTTTAATATGTGTATGCAAGGTGTGTGACATGTGGAAACCACGATCAACACAATATATGACTTTTCTTTTTCCAGACAGGAGGAAGTATTCTTACAAAACAGAGTGATACACTAATATGGCAACATCAGCATCAAATGTCAACTATACTACTTTTGGACTACTATCTTTATCGAGCAATTCTGTAGTGTGTCTACAAAAAATTTAATAAAAAATGTTTTAGGAGCCAGTGCCTCGCTAGTCTTTTCTTTAGTATGGAGCTTTGCAAAAGTGGCAAGCTACTATTTTCCTAACTATAAAACCAATTTTATAGCTTCCAGGGGCGTGGTCTGCTGCTGACCCTGTGTCTCGCTGTTGTCTCATGGCGTTTTCGTGTTTTATTAGTTTTATTTGTTGTTTTATTTGCTGTTTGTTGTTGACTCATTCTTTTACATTTGGAAGCCGTATGGATGTGGTTGCGGCGTTGGTTGGAATGGTGCAGGTAAATGGTATTCGAGAGATTTTTTGCTATTTCTGTGATATAATAATAATTATGCAGTGGAAATGGAGATTCCATCAAATTTGTGTTTGCATAAAAGAAGGAAATCAAGAATTAAGAAGAGAGGGTTGAGGGGAGTAATTCCCCTGCAAAGCAACAAAATGTATTTATTTTAAAGGGGGTGATTATTTTCTATACCCACTGTATAAACAAACCTTTGTGCCATATGCAATAAGTCTTTTGAATAAAATGTAGTACTGCAGTGTTTTAGGAGGGGTGAATATATTAAGTATTTATTTGATGTTATGTGAATGTTTTGTATTGTCATTGTTCTATGTAAAGCGAGACCAAAGACCAATTTTCAGCCAAGGCTGAACAATAAAGTATAACTAACTTTTTTTTTTTTTGAGCTATGGGAAAAAAACTATATATACATATAGTTTTTTTTTTTTTTTTGCAGATATGTACTGTAAGTGTGCCATTTGAGCATATTTTGTTGTTCACTTAATTTAGATTCCCAATACAACGTGGTGGGGACATGAAGTCTTTCTTAGTGCATGGAAATGACATATTGAGTATAGACCAGCTTTCATTCAAGTTTGATGAGGAACGAGGCTAGTGATATTTTTAATACAGGGACACTCAGTTCTGCTAACGCTGTTCATGCACCAAAGATACACTCGGACGTACAGGTTGTGAGGAAAGAGATGTGGAATGCTTGTGTGGGTTTCTGAGGTGTGTGTGCATTTATGTGTAAAGAATGCTGCCAGACTGGCCGGTACACTCTGCTTTGAGGACTTCATCCCTCAGCAGGTTACCAGACCCAAGCCGGCAGTCGTCAGCCTCTCAGCTGCCTTACCCAGCATTCCACAGGCTTTAGCTTAAAGAAAAAAAGAATTCCTGGCATGGTATGACTGGCCTCTAGCTTGAGGCTGATGCGCTCTGTCCTGTCACACAACTTATAAGAACAATTCAAGCAACAGAGAAACACTTGATTGCTGACTTATCGTGACATGGCAAACTTGTGGATTTGTTAGACATCATGTTCTTTGCCAGACACAACTGACTAGATACTTCTCCTCTCTGTTTTTGAATTAGTTGCCTGGCTTTTTGGTCAGTAACCCATTGCCATCGTTTTAATCAGTATGATGGAGGTACATGAATATTGGCCATCGGCCTCACATCTGAAATCTGAGAGCATGGTTACATGTCTGTATCAGCTGCTCTTTGTCCTAGTTTGAGAGGAGAGGCTGTTTTGTGTTTTTTATCTGTGTGTGAGAGCTTGTGAACAGGTATGAGAGGAAGTCTGGGACAGTTATAGTCTGTTTTGTGTCTCTTTTGTGTTTGTGTGTGATAAGATCAATGTGTGAATTTATAGATGACATTGAACTTTTTGTATGTTTTAATGATCACTTTTTTGGAAAAAAACTTTTAATTAAGTGTGTAGTATTTTAAAGGACTATTGTCAATTGTTCATTCAGAAAGGAGTTTTTTTAAAACCCCTTTTTCAACCCTGGTGTCATAAGTAATTAAGTTCTGCCACCTAG